ACCGGAGCGAACGAGATAATGTCTAATTCAGGTAGTCGAGTTAGCAGTCACTTATCGTTTATCATAGACCGTTTTTTTTCGAACGTGGGTGGTGGGAGGAGCAGGCAAGTTTCCAGGGCGCGGTCCAGACTGGCCGTCGCGTCAAAACCGTGATCCATTGTCGAGCCAAGAATAGATCTAGTGGATCTCGAGGCGACGCCACCCTCGGACTTGCGTCCCACTGTGCGTAGATCTCGTGAAAAATGAAAAAACGACGGCGTTCGGCGTCTGAAACGGAAGTCGAGTTGAACGTGACAGGGTGTATTAAATAACATCAAGCATACTCGTATAAATTGCAACTTTACCGTCGCATTATCGATATCAGATTTGATGTCTGATAACGCGCAAACGTTTATTACGAATGAGATCAGATGATTTATTCAATGAATAAATGCAACGCGAGGCCTAGCATTAGAATTTCGAAGCTAGCCAACGCGAGGTCAAAGACCATCCCTGTCAAGCCTCGTCGATTTGATTCAGAAAGTACAGAAACGGGTTTAGCTTTTTGAAAATCATCGTTGTTCGATAGCCGTTCGTTCCTCCTGTTCCAAGCGTTCGGGTATACGCAGGTACTTAGTCGTAAAACGATTCTCGGGAGAAAAGAACGTGACCTCTCGCCACGGTGATTCACGCATCGTGACGGCTTCGTTGTACCTTTAGTCACGCGTGACGAAAAAATACGCGTCGGGGAAGGAAGAGGAATATGTGATTCGGAATCTTTCCGGGAACTCGTCGAGACGAACATCGACGGGAAACAGTAACGCCGCAAGTCTTGCAGTCAATAAGGAAAGAGTCGAGACGTACACACAAAAATAATAGCTGTCTCCGATTTATTCTGTTTTTTAAAATGTTGAATTTAGTGAGGATTTTGTTCGATCTTTCATACGTGATTTATACATGGATTTTCTTTTTCACGTTTGATTTATTCAAGAGTCCCGTAGTTATTGTCTGTAATTATTTTTTCACCGTTCCGAAGCGATACCGTAAATTTTTGATTCCGGGTAAGGATTAAATGGGCTCTGAGCCGAATTAGGCGAGTCTGTATCGATCGACGGTGAACGAAAATGCAGTTACGTCTAGACGGTTAGCGGTACTCTTCGACTGGGTATAGTTTCGATCACGAGACCGTCAACCGCGGATCGGTACTCGATCTTTAGACCAAATTCACAACTTCAAACAAAAACACTTCTGCAGCTAGCTAGCTAGATTTAATTGCAACGTGAATGAACGAAGATGGGACTCGGTGAATGGACCAATCAGGGCTCCATTTCTGCACTGGTTCGACGATCTCCCCCCCGTCTGTGCTCGTTAGTCAATTAAACTTCGTAATTATAGCCCCGTACGGTGGTGCTGCCGGAGGCATCTGACGCGTGACTCACGACGGACGTTGCCAACTCCACTCGATATTTCACCTGCTACGAAAATATTTCGGCTCTACGTGTTAATTAACGTCTACTTTCGTTCATTAGTCTTCCCGAATTAAATCCGAATGTCTCCTCGTTCGCCGTTCGCGTTCACATGAAACGAGATAAGAGGGCATTGTCTCCATTGTTAAAGCGCCTGCCTCTCGCGATAGCAACTGCGTTATACGTCTCCGTTACATTGAACGCGCAGATGTTCGGTCAATATGTATCGAACGTATTCTTTTAATCGCATAGCATTTTATTAGATAAGATAGCACGTTGTACCATTCGTCGTTGTATTATAACGGACGAGATCGCAGGAGCATTTTGGAACGTTTAATCAACGGGTCGTTGAACGGGAGTTGCCGAATCGTCTCAGGGTGTTTCCCTCCCGGCTATGTACCCCGGGACACATGTGAAATAATCGGCATGGGAACACGAAACGCAGCCAGATCCGCTTTCGCATATGCGACGTACGCACGTATGTGCACCGTACACGAATTAACGCCGACCTAATTGACCGTCGCTAATTCCCTCGTCCTCGACGCCTCCGCCCGTTGCCATTTTACAACGGACATCGTTAACGACCGCATTACGAATCTGCATCCTCTCGCGGAGCCAATTTTCCGTTCCTTTAACACCGAACTCTACATTGCTGCGTCCGATTCGTTTGCATAATTAAAATCGTAATAAATCGTGAAGACAGTTGCCATAAAATTGTATTTAGAAATCCAATCGTCGCAAGTTTCCCTGTTTAGGACAGAGGGACGAGACGAGATACTCCGCGCCGTGCATCTTATTAATGACAGAGTTCAGTTTTATAGCTGTATTCTCTAGCTTTTCGATGCTCGTAAGCAACTTTCCCGTATCGATTTCATTCCATTTACATTAAGGATGTATTGGCTATACAGTCAATCCGAAAAGATTATGTACCTTAGAAAAACGCATTTCCTATAATTAAGAAGAAATCAGACGTCGGAAGAATAATGCTAATAATAAATAGCTACGTGCTAAAAAGTATAGAAGGAAATATCCAATTAAGTATTGACGCTGACGAAAATTTTTTTTTCAAAATTGCGAAAAATGCTTCAAATAAAAGTTGTTTTCCTTCTAACTTCGATATTTAACGAGTTACGTATGATTATTTGGCATTTTATTAATGTTGACAAAATACGACCATCCCAGTATAGCCAATAGATCTTTAACTGGCTGTCGTTAACCCGAATTTCGTTCGAGGACGGAGATTAATGAGGAGTCCGCGCCGAGAAGCGAATGGGACAGATGCACTAGGACCGTTCTGACTATTTTATACCCACGAGGGGTTACCCGTTTTCACGCGCAATAACCCGGAGCTCTGCTGCTATCCGCGAGCCGCTCTACGGTCTTAAAAGCGGAAGAGGCCAAGGCTGAGCAAAAGAAAATCGCAGACGTCCAATGATTCATCCGTTTATCTTATTCGCTCCTTTTTTTTTTTTTTTTTTTAATACAGATACGCAGCGTACATAGTTGATTAAAAACTGATACTGCATCCTTGGAATGATAAACGTTTATACGACACGTTTAAAAAATGTTTGATCTGTTCAGTAGCTGGACGGACGTTCGTATACGGTATGTGTCGAAATTCGTTAATCGGTTTTGATTTCCTGCTACACAGGAAATTGGTGACAAATCGAGTGCCGCTACGGTCGACGGATAGCTTTAAATTGGTTAGATTAAATCGGGAAGCAATTATGGCCTGGATTCGCGTGCATAATTGGGCCGGGCCAAAATAGCGTTTTCGAATCGATGCGATTCCCGTATTTACGCCTCTGTCCGTCTTAAAATAGTTCCGAGTGGTCTATTAACAGATCGGATAGACATTCCGAACAACAATTAATTATAGACGATCTCAATTGACACATCGGAATAAATCATGCAGTAATTCATACGTGTCATACGATAAATACATAATGCTGATCATATCAATCGTGGATAAAATTGTGTGTTGGAATGAAATCCAATTGACGTGTATATGTATAGTCCCTCTATTTGTGTAAGCGGATGTTACACAATTTTATCGCTGATCGAACGAATTGCGAACGCAATTCGCACAGGTCATGCGAGAGGGACCGCGAGTTAGTCGCGTTCAGACGGTTATTTCCGTTTGCAAAAAAGTTTCGCCGATTGAAAAGAGGTAGAGAAAGCCTCGGGGGAATCGTCTGCGTCAAGAGACCAAGTCGAAGGGAGTTCGGTCGTACATTTGGCCAGTCCTGCACTTTTTCCCTTGGCACCCTTGACGTCAATCTCGTTCCCATAAACAGCGCACATGTGCCCGTTTCGGCAGTTCCGCTCTTAACTGTTCGAAAGAGCTAATAAAAATCTCAATAATATGTTTGAAGTATTTTTCAAGAATCCAATGACGATCTAAACGGAAGCGTCCGATGTTAACGAATCGGGACATTCTGCGTTTCAAACGGGGAACGAAAGTGTAAATGATGATTATTCGGAAAATAACGATTTGCCAACGGTTTGAGTAAAAGTATTTAATCTGGGTCTGGTAACAGAATTTCCTCGACTTGGATCGCAATTCGGGCGGTTCTCGTTCCGCGGATGCAGATTACAGCTTACCAGTTAAATCCGAGCTAACTGAATTCCTTGATAAATTCCAGCCGAGGAAAACTTTGTTCGTCGAAGAAACGCGGGTTATTTGCGCGAGGCGTGGAGGAGTTGCCGTTGTTTCTCGAGAATTTCCTCGACCAATACTTGGGCTTCTTTCAGCCAACAAAATTTCAACACGCGTATCGCAATATCGCACCGTAATATTCTCCACGCGAGATCTAGTCTCACGATATTTTACGCGATCTAGGTTTTCGAACAAAGACACAAGTGGCTTTTTCCCGCTTTAAATGACTGGTAGAGGCAGTCGTAATTACAGTTGATTCCGTGCCTACGCTCTACCCACGCTCCACAGAATGACCGATCGTGGGCCAAGCCCCCCCGGCTGTCTCAGCTTTGAAAGACAAATTTTCGTGGCCCTTCATGTTACGATCAAGATACATCGAGCGCGGGTCAGCTCGATCAAGGCCGGACACTCTGATCGATCGTTTCCGACTTAAATTCTCGTCTGCGAGTTCTGTGTGTGTATTCGGATCCCTGTTTGCATCGATAGAATCTCGATTAATGCCCTATCCTTTAATCTGGAGAAATTAACGAGTATTTCTGTCCCAGTGGAAGTCTTAAAACATTTACGTTTAATTTGCAAGAGTACTGGTCAATCTTGAACGGTAGACGATATCGAATGGTAAAAGTATTCTCGATTTTTCGGCTCGATGAATCGTGGATCGGTCGTGTCTGTCGGAAAATTGTAGAGCTCATTGTTTATGTAAAGGATTTTCCTCCGTACATCGTTGGAATGTAATTAGCATGGAGTGCAAACGAGCGCGGGCCACTGTTTGCCACGTGAGCTTGCCCGCGGGCTCTCGCCGATTTTCCCCCCGGACGCTCGTTAAAATATCCGCAAACACTGGACAAAGGATACTGAATATTTCTCTAACGATTTCCCGGTTGTTTCTGTTTCAGGGCCGTCCCCGGATTTTAGCAAGCACACTCTGGTCAGACCGCGGGTCTACCACGCCAGGTCCAAACGCCAGATCTCATCCACCAAAGAAAACGTAAGCAGTAGTTTCAACTCCGGTTTCGTTCATCTATAATCTATACATATATTCAGAATCCATCTGCTGTTTCAACCGATTTGCATCGTTATCATTCTTTATTAATTTTACTATAACGCACAGAGCCTTGAAAGATGAGTTTTGATCTGAAAAAAAAATACATCCATTAATTATTTAACACTAGATTACCCAAGGAAGTAATTTTGACTGGTTTTGGGCAAATGTACAAATAATAANTTTTTTTTATTGTTAACATTTACTAATAACTTGTTATATGACTGTAAATAATATAAAAAATATTAAAAATTAATTTTAGACAAATTTCTTTACACATTATTCTTTCACAATGCAGTAATTTTGACTGCTTTTGGGCAATATAGGTATACAATACTAAGTTTCAGTCTTTCTAGTGTTAAGATAAATGCATAGAATTTTTCTTTTAATCACTGTGTCAGTCATCGTATAAAATATCGTATTTTGTCGTACTGTTTACTGGTGGTAGTGCACGATGCGAATGAGTTAATAAACTGTTTAAAAGAGAAATTGACGTAAACGATTTTTAAATGCCTTCGCAATCTCGTCTGCCCGATAATAGAAGCGAACTATTAACCTTATTAATTGATAATTATAAATTAACTCGAGACGTGAAGCGATTATAAACCGCATGAGTCATTGCGATTTAATATGGATGTTGGAACACGCGATACGTGGAGGAATCCATGGACGACAAACATGATTATTCTGTGATTAATCCACAGTTCGTGTGGCGAAGAATCTTCTCGAGTTTAATGAGAGCGTCGTAACAAGCGAAATTTCACGGCTCGCTCGCGACTTTCACGGCGTTCCTTAACAAAAAAATTAATTCTTTCGTCTAGTAAAAGTAGAAGTAGAAATCGAGGACCAGCTTGGAGCACGTAACGCACAGGTACATAATTGCGTTCGCGCAGGTAGCGCGAGTTATCGTTAGAATGCGGGACGCGTATCCTCGACGGGTGCAACAATTTCAATGTAAATGTCGCATCGCTCTACGAATACGGAATCCAGGTCCGCGGCATTAACCTGCGAGGAGCTATGCTCGAAAATCGTACGGAACGAGACGTAAAATCGTAGTATAAATCCACAAACGCGAATTTTATTAAAAGTATCGTCATGATTTATTAGATGATCACGTGAACGATTTATTTACTACAATGTCTCGATTGAGATATTTTTCTTGCTCACCCGTGTTCGAAGCAGACGTTTCAGAGGAATGTTTTGTACCCCGGCTATTTTTAAGCCTAGGAATCCTCTTAACTCGGGATGCGTTCAAAACGAAATAAACGAAGCGTCGCTTGTTGTATTCTCGACGCGAGTAGATCGCGAGAAATATGGCTCGTGGTTAACATGGACCAAAAAATGGCTTGAATCGGCTACTGTTTCTAATACCGTCATCAACAGACTGCTTATAGAAGAAATTCTGCAGAATATTAAGTGTACGTTATTAAGATTTCATTTTTCAAATCGATGTCAAGCTTTAGTTCATTCAAATCCTCGGTCTTAACACTTTATCGACCGGTCGTTTTTGAGGCTGCCACTCAGTAAGTACCGGTTTAGTCTAAGCAAAACTCTTCATCCATTCCACAGTCTTTATCCATTAGAAACGGTAAAAAAATATTGTAATTAATAAAGATATGGAGTGGTTAGTATACAGC